GGAATGCATAATTGGACTAGATATACTCAGCAACTGGCAGAACCCCCACACTGGATCCCTGACAAATGGAATAAGGGCTATTATGTTAGGAAAAGCCAAGTGCAAGCCATCAGAACTACCCCTACCTAGGAAAATAGTAAACCAAAAGCAATACCACATTCCTGGAGCAATGGCAGTGATTAGTACCACCACCAAGGACTTGTAGGATGCAGGGGTGGTGATTCCCACCACATCCCCATTCAACTCACCTATCTGGCATGTGCAAAAAATAGATGAATCTTGGAGAATGACAGTGGATTACTGAAAACTTAACCAGGTGGGACTCCAATTGCAGCTGCTGTTTCAGATGTAATTTCGTAGCTTGAGCAAATTAATATATCTCCTGGTACCTAGTATGTAGCTGCTGATTTGGCTAATGCCTTTTACTCCATACCAGTTTCAAAGGACCACCAGAGGCAGGTTTGCCTTCAGCTGGCAAGGCCAACAATACACCTTCAGTGCCCCACCTCAGGGATGTATCAGCTCTCCAGCCCTATGGCATAATTTAGTCTGCAAGAACCTTAATCACCTTTCCCTTTCCACAAGATACCACACTGGTCCATTACATTGATGACATTATGCTGAATGCACCTAGTAAGGAAACAGTGTCAATGACTCTGGATTTATCAGTAAAACACCTGTGTGCTTGAGGGTGAGAAATTAATCTTTCAAAAATTCAGGCACCTTCTACCTCAGTGAAATTTCTAGGGGTTCAGTGGTGTGGGGCATGTCACAATATTCCTTCTAAAGTGAAGGGTAAGTTATTGCATCTAGTCCCTCCGAAAACTAAAAAGGCACAATGCCTAGTGGGCCTCTTTGGATTTTGGAGGCAACATATCCCTCATTTGGATGTGTTACTCCAGCCTATTTATCAAGTGACTCGAAAAGCTGCTAGTCTGGCATGGGGCCCAGAACAAGAGAATGTTCTGCAACAGGTTCAGGCTACCTTACAAGCCGCTCTACCTCTTGGGCTGTATGATCCAGCTGATCAATCGTGCCTGAAGTGTCAGTGGCAGATAGAGATGTTGTTTGGAGTCTTTGGCAGGCCCCTGTTGGTGAATCACAGCGCAGACCCTTAGGATTTTGGGGCAAAGCCCTGCTATCCTCTGCAGATAACTGCTCTCCTTTTGAGAAACAGCTTTTGGCTTATTACTGGGCCTGAGTGGAGACTGAACACTTAACCATGGGCCACCAAGTCACCATGCAGCCTGAGCTGCCCATCATGAACTGGGTGTTGTCTGACTCACAGAGCCAAAAAGTTGGACATGCTCAGCAGCACACCATCATTAAATGGAAGTGGTATACATGAGACTGGGCCTGAGCAGGAGGACCTGATGGCACAAGTGGCATGAGGAAATGGCCCAAATTCCCGTAGTCTCCACACCTGTCATGATACCTTCCATCTCCCAGTCAGCACCTATGGCCTCATGGGGAGTTCCTTATGACTAGCTGACTGAGGAAGAGAAAATTCGTGACTGGTTTACAGATGGTTCAGCATGATATGCAGGCACCACTCAAAAGTGGACAGAGGCAGCACTACAGCCCCTTTCTGGGACCTCTTTGAAGGACAGTGGTGAAGGGAAATCCTCCCAATGGGCAGAAGTTCGAGCACTGCACCTGGCTGTTCACTTTGCTTGGAAGGAAAAATAGCCAGATGTGTGATTTTATTCGTATTCATGGGCTGTGGCTAATGGTTTGGCTGGATGGTCAGGGACCTGGAAGAAACATGATGGGAAAATTGGAGAAATATGGTGAAGAGATATGTGGATAGACCTCTCTGAATGGGCCAAAGAATTGAAGATATTTGTGTCTCCAGTGAATGCTTACCAAAGGGTGACCTCAGCCAGAGAAGGATTTTAACAATCAAGTGGATAGAATGACGGGTTCTGTGGAAACCAGTCATTCTCCTTCCCTAGCCACTCCCATCATTACCCAATGGGCTCGTGAACCACGTGGCCAGGTGGCAGGGATGGAGCTTATACATGGGCTCAGCAACATGGACTTCCACTCACCAAGGCCGACTTGGCTACAGCCACCATTGAGTGCCCAATCTGCCAACAGCAGAGACCAAACCTAAGTCCCCAGTATAGCACCATCTGTCAGGGTGATCAGCCAGCAACCCTGGTGGCAAGTTGATTACATTGGACAACTTCCATCATGGGAAGGGCAGCATTCTGTTCTTACTAGAATACACACTTACTCTGGATATGGATTTGTCTCTCCTGCATGCAATGCTTCTGCCAAAACTACCATCCATGGATTTACAGAATGACTTATCCATTGTCGTGGTATCCCACACAGCATCATTTCAGATCAAGGAACTCACATCACAGCAAATGAATTACGGCAATGGGCCCGTGCTCATGGAATTTAGTGATCTTACCATGTTCCCCATCACCCTGAAGCAGCTGGCTTCACAGAATGATGAAATATAACTGTCTAAAGACACAATTATGGTGTGAGCTAGGTAGCAACACTTTGCAGGATTGGAGCAGTCTTCTCCAGGAGGCTGTGGACACTCTAAACCAACATCCAATATATGGTGCTGTTTCTCCCATAGCCAGGATTTATGGTTCCAGGAATCAAAGGGTGGAGATGGGAGTGGCACCACTCACTATTACCCCTAGTGACCCACTCACAAAATTTTTGCTTCCTTTTCCCACAAACCTATGTTCTACAGGTCTAGAAGTCTTAGTTCCAAAGGAAGGAATGCTCCCAAATGGAGACAAAACACAGATTCCACTGAACTGGAAGTTAAGAATGCCACCCCCCACCGCTTTGGGCTCCTCACACCTCTGGATCATCAGGCAAAGAAGGGAGTTACCATATTGGCTGGTGTGACTGACCCTGACTACCAAGGGGAAATCAGACTGATGTTGCATAATGGAGGTAAAGAAGAGTATGTCTGGAATACAGGACACTCCTTAGGGCATCTCTTAGTACTACCATGTCCTATGGGTAAAGTCAATGGAAAACTATAGCAATCCAATTCCGACATGACTACTTATACCCAGAGCCTTCAAGAATGAAGTGGACACTCTGGCAAGGCTCCAGGGCATTTGCTCACTCTGAAATCTGCAGCTGGCTCCTGTTCGTCTGATCTCCAGTTCTTGGGACTTGAGATAGCAGCTTACCTGCTGTCTTGCCTGCTGATCTTGGGATTCATCACTCTTCACAGCCTGTGAGCAAGAGCCTTGCTGTCTGACCTGATGATCTTGCATTCACCAGCTCCTGTGGCTACGTGAATCAGGAGTAGCCTCCAGCCTGACCCATGGACTTGGGACATTCCAGCCTCTACCACTGCGTGAGTTATTTCCTTGATATAAATCTCTCTATATAGATATTTATATGCTTTACTGCTTTTGCTTCTCTAGAGAATCCAGCCTAAGACGGGGGGCATTGAGTTTATGTTAATTGTGGTGGAATGTTTTGGAAGAGGATAGTGATAATGGTGGCACAACATGGAAGAAATGTAATCAATGTCATTAAGTTGTGAATGTGGAAGTTGTGCTGGCAGATATTTTAGTGTGTATTTTTCACAATAAAAAAAAGAGAATAGAAAAAAAAAAAGGTAGCAGGCTGATTATGGTCTAAGGGCTATAGTTTGCCAACTCTTGTTCTAGAGCATCATCCACTATCAAAATCCACCACTGTCAAGTCGCTGCCAACTCACAGCAACCCTATAGCACAGAGTAGAACTGCCTTATAGGGTTTCCAAGGCTATAAATCTTTAGGGAACCAGACTGCCACATATTTCTCCTGTGGAGCGACTGGTGGGTTTGAACGGCCGCCAACCTTTCCGTTGGCAGTTGAGTGCTTTAACCACTGCACCACCAGGTCTTCTTCACCCATTATATTTGGTAGAAAATCAGAGAAATATATTAAGGTAAGATACTTTAACATGTTTCTTTTTCTCTTAATAGCTCTTACAATTTTTTCATTTATGAATCTGGATGATAACTTCTTTGGTGCAAAGATATTCAGAACTTTAATTTTGTCCTTTTTACAAGTTTTTTAAACATTATTCAAATAACTTCCACATGATTTCATCGTTTTTGGCCTGAATTCATTCTTGTTTAATAGATAAATGAACCATGAATTATTTGCATGTTTACTGCCTTACTATTATATATCTTAAACTTTCCATATTATTTTTTAGGTATATTTCTTTGGTACAATATGATAGTATTTTCTCCTAAACGAGAAAAAACAAAAAAACAAATCCATTGCCATTGAGCAGATTCCAACTCATAGCAACCCTACAGGACAGAGTAGAACTGCCCCATAGGGTTTCCGAGGCTATAAATCTTTATGGAAGCAGACTGCCATATCTTGCTCCCACTGAGCGTCTGGGGGGTTCGAACTACTGACCTTTTGGTTAGCAGCCGAGAGCTTTAACCACTGTGCCACCAGGAGCAATTTCAACCCATTGTCATTAATTGTTGTCTTTCTTTATTCTGAGATTTGCTGAGCTTTATAACTACTGTTTTCATTGCTCTGTTAAGAAAATTTTTCTTTTTAATAATTAGGAAGATTGTATTCTTGCTCTAATTAGATACTTTTATAATTATAAACATATATTTCATTATTTGTCTACTGATTTTTACAACACTCAGTAATTCCATTACATAGTCAATGATTGTTTTTTCTCTCTCTTGCTATCTTTTAGCCAACAACTTCAGCTGTTTTTATATTCATAGTTTTAGCTTGTTACTATTAAATATAATTCTATAACTTGATTTATCAATTGCAATTTATCTTTTTGGGAACCCAGCTTTTAAAGATCAGAAAATAAATAGGCTTAATTACACTGGCTATGTTATACCTTCACTTTGCACACTGTACTGGGTCTGTTCTTTTTAAATTTTCAAAGAGAAATGGTGCTGAAAGAACCTACCACTAACTGATCAGTTTGGATTCAATTTCTCCTTGATACCTTCTGTTAGATTTCAATAACTCACCTATATAGCTCCTGTGTAAAAATTCTTCATCTGATAAGCAAGGATCTCTTCCTTGTTCCAGCTTGAAAATCACTTCTGGTTTTGTAAAGCAATACCCTACAAGTGGGAAGTAATTCAGGATGTGAATCAGTTACATGCATCTTCAATGATTCTGAATGTGGAGGAAGGTATAAGATTAGATGCTGCACTTTAAACGTGTTAATTTGACCCGTTTTGGGGGGAAGTGACAAAAGGAATAAATCTCCATAAATCCCTGAATCCCAAGCCTAAATAACATCAAATTCTAATAATGGTTCAGGTTTATTGGGTTTTACAAAAGGGATTACATGAAACTTCCACTTCTGACCATGATCATGAGGGAGTATCAGGGACCAATTTATCTTTACATGTCAAACTAGAAAACCAAACAAAATTGAACAACAGCAGGACAGGAATTCCTAAGAAAAGGGAAAATAGTTGGTGAGTCCTATGATTGCCACAGCTTACAGTCTGGAGTTTCTAGGCCACAGCAGAGAAAGGAGAAACCAAAAGAGAACCGGACAGTTTCAATATGTTGAGGAGCTAAGGCTGTGAGACTGGGAAAGCCAAGGCAACTAAATTTTGAGGGGCAAAACTGGAGAGGAAAGAGCCATACTAAGGGAGAGCCATGGACACCTGCAGGAAGATCTCTGTGAATCTTTCGCTGAGTACTGACTTGTTCAACTATGTAAGGAAACTACCCAAGACTGGCAGAAAAACCACTGGAAAGGAATAAGATGAAAAATCACCAAAGCACACATAGAGGTGGGACACTGTGATCCCACCAGCTAGAGGATTCCTTAATACACTAAAGATGCACAGTAAATAACCTGATGGGCACTGTCTTAGGATAGGGGCTAAATTAGTCCTAGACTAAAAGGTGCTCTGAATCCAATATAACAAAGCTTTTTAAAAAGCAAATCTTGAAATGATCAAACTAATTCCAAGTAACTTAACTGTACTCCAGAAAAGCTCAAAAATATTTAAAAGAATTCTACAATTCTATCACCCAAAAATGTAGTGTAATGGGTTGAACTGTGTTCCCCAAAAAGATATGTTCAAGTCCTCGAGAGCTATGAACGTGACCTCATTAGGAAATAGGGTCTTGCAAACATAATCAAGTTAAGAAGTGATCCTAATGAGTTAGAGTGGACCCTAAATCCAATTGATGGTGTTCTTGTAAGTAGAGGGAAATTTGCAGAGAAACAGACACACACAGAGGAAAGAAGGCCATGTGAAAAAAGAGGCAAAAGCTGGAGTGATGTATCTATAAACCAAGGGATACCAAGGATTGCTGGCAACCACCAGCAATTTAGGTATTTAGGAAGAGCTTAGGAAGAGGCAAGGAAGGATTCTTCCATAGAGCCTTCAGAGGGAGCAAGGTCCTGCTGACATCTTCAGTAAAGATTCCTAGCTCCCAGAACTGTGAGAATAAATTTATTATTTCAAGCCACTTGGTATGTGGTAATTTGCATAGCAGCCCTAAGAAACTAACACAAATTTTAAGAGGACAGGAAATGACACATAAAAGTAGCAGCCAAGAACAAAAGAATGAAGAGAATTGCATTCTATACAGAGTTAAATGGTGAGGTCTGCTCACCCACTGAGACGAGGTGGCTGTAGTTCTCCAGCATCACGTCTCTGTACAGGGTCCTCTGAGCAGGGCCCATGTGCTGCCACTCCTCCTGGGTCAGCTCCACAGCCACGTCCTTGAATGACACTGATGCCTGTAACAGCACATCTCTTATCAATCTGAAGAGTTCAGAATTAGGTAACACTGAAAATAACTTTGGAAACTAATTGTTATAACATTTACTGTTGTGAGTTAAAAACAAAATGTTGTAAAGGATGACTATTGCAGCCCTAATATTTTAGGGATACCGGGGTACTCATGAAATTAGTACAAATATTATTCTCATGCCCTAATTAGCCTGTATTTATTTCATAAAATATTTACATATACTATCAGTAACACACTACCCTGGGGTTTAGAATTTAACCTTATGCAAAGAATTTGGTCTTTGACTCCAACACCTGAGAGATTATCTCTAAAAAAACTTTGGAATTAAGTGTCATCTATAAGGACTCTGGATCACACCGAACTTAACAGGTTATGTCGGTAGGGTGATGAGGTGACTCTGGGATGGGCGCTGGCCAGGCCAGAAAGACCTACTGTGTGATACCTCAGGATCACCTCCTGATACCAACCAACTTCAGTGGGGAGAGGGGCTAGAATTCCCATTATGTAATGAAACCCCTAATAACGGGTCTGGACACGGAAGCTCCATGGACTTCCTGGTTGCTGAAAGACATCGATGCACATGGGAAGGGAGGGTGTCCCTTTTTGCTGTAATAAAACTGTAATCATAAGTACAGTGCTTTCCATAAGTACTGTGAGTTGTTCCAGCAAATTACTGAACCTGAGGGAGTCGTGGGAGCCTGAAGTCTTGGGCCTACCTGGCAGTCTGGAGGATTGTGTCCTTTAACTTGTGTGCTCTGACCTAGCTCTGAGTGTTTAGGGTCAGAGGAACAAGTGCTGAAGAAAAGAAGTGGAACAGAATTGATAATCGATTTGATTAATTCTGAAAGTTTGTAGTGAAAAGTATGGATTTTTATTTGTTTTGATTTTTATATCCCTACAACTAATGATAAAGCTTAGCCTCATGTCCTTTTTTTTTTTGGTTAGATAAACTTACTATAAATAAGTTTCTTCTAATATTTTTCAATACCCCAATGAACTGTCCTGAGCACTCTCTAAGGTATACAAATCACTCTCTCAAGGGGACTAATGAAGAGATACTTGTATGCCCTGGAGGTATTACACAGGTCTTGTATTTTAGAAGTAATGTTCTAGAAGAGTAGGTGTCCACAGCAGCAAAAAAGAAACAAATTTAAGAGATAACCACTATATCAAGGCAATGTGAGGCAAGAGATAAAGAAAACTAATTCTTGTAATAAAAAAAAAAGAAAGAAATGAAATTTGGGCATTTATGTTCACTGAGCAGTTAGGTAGATGCTGATGCCATAAACTGAGACTGGAAAAACTGAAGTATAGAGTTGGGCAGAGGGTCAGCGTGGGGCCAATCCTGTTCAAATGTCCATAGAACATATAGGTGGAATTATCCAAGAATACACAAGGGAAGTCTAGGATGAAGATAAAAATTTAGACAACATCAGCCATTAGGTGGTAACCGAAGTCATCTACTAAGGAGAGAAAAGAACCAGATGCAGAATTCAAAGAGCACCAATACTTAAGAGGCTGGAAGAAAAAGAATAGGGCATGAAAGATGAGAAGTGATTTCCTAAATGAGGGGAAGAGAAACTGTAGAAACTAGTGTTAGAAATTAAGAGAAGACAAAATTAAGAGAAGACAAAATTTCAAACATAAATGATTCCTCTAGTTCAAGGTCATAACTGGGTCTACTGTTTGAGGATAGAGTCTAGTGGGGCAGTGGTGGAAACAGCAACAAATTAGAAACTATAGCAATAACCTTAAAAAAGGTTATGGTATGAAGGGTGTTAGCAGTGGTGTTACTTTGAAGACTTCAGGTTCTGATGTATCTAGAAGATACAGCCAGCAGTATGAAAGTGCCCATTTCCTCACAACTTGGAAATGCTGTGTGCTCTCAAAGTTAGTTTTGCCAATGTGATAAAGTCAGAGTTGTCCTTTCTCAGCCATAAGCTATATCATCACTTAAATAAAGGGAGAGAAACATTTGTGTTCACGAACTGGAAAACTCAATATGGTCAAGACATCAATTCTTCCCAAACTGATCTATAGATCTGGTGTATTCACCATCAAAATCCAGGAACTTTTTTGAGATGGATTCTAAAATTCATATGGAGAAGCAAAGGACCTAGAATATCCAAAATAATTTTGAAAAAAGAATAGAGGACTCATATCACCTGATTTCAGAACTACCTGTGAAGTGGCAATAATCATGAAAATATGGTATTAGCAAAAGATAAATAGAGGAGACTCCAGAGTCTAGAAATAAACCAAATATATATAGTCAACTGATTTACAACAGAGTTGCCAAGACAATTCAATGAAGAAAGTTTACCCTTCTTAACAAATGGTTCTATAACTTTAAAATATATATGGGGGGGGGGGAGGAATGGTGGAAACGATTATGACCAGTTTAGGCAATGGGGCAATAAAAAATTATAACTCATAAAATAAATAAATTGAAAAAACTGCAAAAGTTGATAAATATTAACCAGACACAGGCTAAGGGAAAGTATCTTCAAAATCTAAAGAGAGATTTGTATCTAGAATATACACAACTCTCCAAACTTAGTAATAAGAAAAACATTTTTTTTTAATGGAGGAAAAGAATTAGGTATTTCACCAAAGAACAACGATGGAAAATAGGCAAATAAGATGTTCATCATTAGACAATAGGGAAACACACATAAAACCAAAATGAAATGCCAGTACATACTTACTACAATGACATGAAGTAAGCCACACTGAAAATGCTACATACTGGAAAAGCACAACTGGATTGCTGGAGTAAGTACCACCAAATTTCTACACTCCAGAAACACAAAGGCACTGCCAAAACTTGTCAAAATCAACTATTTCACAACAATCCAAGAAGTGTTTATTCATGAAACAAGGAAGAATCTCAGTAAGAACAGTGAGCATAAAGACATTTAAACTTACCCTAACCCCATTCCACAGCTCTGTGGTAGCACTGGAAGACAAAAGCCTTGCAACTATGGTAGCAGTGAAAACCAACAGTTCAGTAGCCAGAGGAGGGGGTAGAACAGGTTTGGAGCCTCAAAAGCCCCATCCCCAAAGAACTCTCACTGTCTGACCTTAGGAAATGAGCTTTCTATACACGGCTTCGGCTTTAAAAAGCTTCAACACATTCTTGAGAATCTAGAAGGCCAATCTCTCACCTCTAACTGACCATGATGCTTTGCACAAGCAGGAAGTGAAGGCTAAGGCAGACTGTAAATTTCCTACAAAAGCAGTGAAAGAATGCCCCAACATAGACTCACAGGTAAGTCTGGCAGAGTTACTGGGTAAAAGAATTTAGGGAAACGTCCATTCAGTCATTAGCTGACCCATAAGCTAACCAACCAGATGCTTCCGTGGCAGCACACAGAAAAGACTACAGACTTTACAAAATTAGCCTCGGAAAGTCACTAAACAAACAGCAACAAACAATAACAACCGTTGCTAGGGAGGGGAGGAATCTAATTTACAGAGTTGCCCATTATCTTATTTAACAGGTCCAGTTTTCCACATAAAAAAATAGATACATATATAACACATGCAAGGAAAGAGGAAGAAAAAAAGCACATTCGACAGGAATTTTCCCTAAGGAAGCCTAGTTGTTGGACTTACTAAACAAAGACTTTACATTAGCTATTATAAGTGTGCAAACAGTAAAAGGAAACTATGACTAAAAAATTAAAGGAAACTATGAGAATGATGTCACAAATGATGTCTCAGCAAGTAGAGAATATTAATAGATAAAAATTATTAAAAAGAACCAAATAAAAGTCAAGGATTGAAGAGTACAGTAATTGAAATGAAAATTTCACTAGAGGACTCAAAAGCAGATTTGGTCAAGGAAAAGAAAGAATCCACAAACTTGAATATAAACTGAGATTGTGAGAAACTTAAGGAAAAAAATAATGAAGAAAAATGAACACAGCCTCAGAGACCTGTGGGACACCATCAAGTATACCAACGTATGAATAAAGGCAGTCCCAGGAAGAGAGAAAAAGGACCAGAAAGAATATTTGAAGAAATAATGGCAGAAAACTTGATAAAATTAGATGAAAATCATTAATCTACACATTCAGAAAGCTCAATGAACTACAAGTGTGAAAAGCTCAAAGAGATATACACCTAGACACATCATAATCAAACTGCTGAGAGACAAAGACAAAGAGAACCTGGAAAAAAGGAAGAAAGAAGTGACTCATCACAAAAAAGGGATCATCAGTAAGATTAACAACCGATTTCTCATCAGAAAAAATGAAGGCCAAAAGGCAGTGGGATGACATATAAAAACAAAGGTAAGATAAATCAAAGTTCATCAATTAAAAAAAAATTATGTGCTTTATGATACTCATGAGGAGTGTGCCTCTTAGCTCAAGTAGATACAAGAGACTAAATGGGGAGCTTCTGTCCAGAGGTGAGATGGGAAGGCAGAGAGGGTTAGAAGCTGGTTGAATGGACATGGGGAACCAGGGATGGAAAGAAGGACTGTGCTGTCACAGTATGGTGAAAACAATTAGAGTCACGTAACAATGTGTGTATAAATTTTTGTAGGGGAAAAATTTTTTTAAAATTATGTGCTTTAAAAGACTTCAAGAGGGTGAAAAAGCAACATTCCTGGAATGAAAGAAAATACTTGCAGATCACATATCTGATAAGGGAATTAAATGGGCTCAGGGGAAGTCCCTAACTAAAGACAGAAGCCACTGGATAAATGCTCCACAACTTTTCACATGTGAAATCTTGTAGGAACTGTCCCTACAGTTCCTCAGAGTGTTCCCATAGGACTCAATCCATAACCCAATGAGGTGATAGGTCCCATTCTCCCTTGAACTAGCTTTTTCTCTATCCCTGTTTTACTCTTCCCAGTACCCCCACTTCTATTCCTGGGAGTACTTTCTAAAATTAACCACACACACAAACACACACACACACACAAGCAACAGTCTCAGAGTCTGGGAAAACAGAGGCCCCATCACTCTTTGC